GTGACACCATCTCCAAAACAGGTCTGGTGGGGTATTCCCAGGATGCAGTTGTCAGTACCTACTAAAATTAGTCCAAGAAAGAAAAACTGGTGAACCAGCGACAGGGTCATGTGCAACCAAGGCTCACTGATGTGCATGGGAAGCAAAGGCTAACCCATCTGATATGATCCCACAGAAGAGCTACTGTAGCACAAATTGCTGAAAAACCTAATGTAGCTATGATACACAGGAGAAAACACAGAAAACAGTGCACTGCAACTTATTACAGAACAGTAAGATTGCTATGGAAGAGGATTAGGATCACTGCAAAAATATATTAGAATTCTGACTTGTTCTCAGAATTCTGTTGAAAACTCAATATTTTTTTTGCCAGAATTCTGATTTTTAAAATCAGCTTTAAAGTCCAAATTCTGAGAAACAAGCCCAGGAAAAGTCAGAACTCAGATCAAATTTGGCCCTAATCCCCTTCTGTGGCATGCCCATGCTGACCCATGTCCAGCACCAAAAGAACCTACAATGGGCACATAAGCATTAGAACTGGACCATGGAGCAATGGAACAAGGTGGCCTGGTCTGTTGAATCATGCTTTCTTTTACATCATGTGGACAGCTGGGTGTGTGTGCATCATTTACCTTTGGAGGAGATGGCACCAGGAAGCACTCCGGGAAGAAGGCAAACTGGCAGAGGCACTGTGATGCTCTGGGCAATCTTCTGCTGGGAAACCTTGGGTCCTACCATTCAGGTGGATGTTACTTTGACATGTACCACATACAGTATCTAAACATTTCTGCAGTACACCCCTTCATGGCAACAGTATTCCCTGATAATAGTGGCGCAGGATAACTTGCCCTGCCATGCTGCAAAAATTGTTCAGGATTGGTTTGAGGAACATGACAAAGAGTTCAAGGTGCTTCCAAATTTCCCAGATATCAATATTATTGAGCAACTGTGGGATGTACTGGAAAAACAAATTAATGGAGACCCAGCCTCACAACTTACAGGATTCTGTTGTTAACATGGCATCAGATACCACAGGACACCTTCAGCAGTTGCATATCAGCAGTATGTAAAAATTCTATACATATATATGAGTCATATATGTAAATCTGTGAAATAAGGCACTTCACAGCACCCACACAGGCTACAAGAGACTATGCAGTGCTAATGATCTCCACACTGTATAGTCAGGCCTCAGTGAAATGTCCTCCTTTATTTAAAGTGACAGAGATGCCGTTGAGGCAGACTCAAATGTAGTAACACAGAGGGAGTGTCAAATCAATAGTCTGCTACACTACCAGTGTGCAGTGAGTTATAGGAGTCACGAGTGACCTCTAAATCAGACCTACATACTCTATGTTGACTACATACTGTAACTAATACCAGGTACAGTCTTCAGTAAAATCTTTATCTTTCTCAGGCTGCATAGTAACCACATATCTTTAAGGAGGAATGTTTGTTGGTGGTTTGTGTAACTACTGAATTCCTTGAGGGCCACAGGTATGATCTCTGAAGTGTTTCACCAAACCCTGTGCGCTCTAGTTTTCTACTCTACCTCCTCACTGTGTAAATCCGCAAGTAAACAAAGAAACAAAGGCATTCTCTCAGTCCACACACAAAAACCTCGACAAAGGTTAATATTTAGCTACACATCCAGCAGAAACAAGGGGGTATGGATATATTCCATTAGAACCCCCCAGTTCTTGAAGTTGAGATGGATAACTAGATAGATAGATAGATAGATAGATAGATAGATAGATAGATAGATAGATAGATAGATAGATAGATAGATAGATAGATAGATAGATAGATAGATAGATAGATAGATAGATAGATAGATAGATAGATATCCTCCAAGTAAAGAAAAACCATCACTCTAACTTAGATTATACTTATCACCTTTAAAACCTGGTTACCTCTGGCCCCCATACCTTATCCTTCTGTGAGCCAGTGCACAGCCTCTGCTCCTCCAGCAGGGCCCTTCTGGTTGATCCTACATAAAGAAAGGGTAATTGGGCTTTTTCCATCAGGGCCTCTAAGACTTGGAACAATTTTCTCAAGGACCTCAAGCAAATGTAAAATCAATATTATCTTAATGTCTTAATCCTTTTCTTTCTTTCTTTCTTTGGTGATATGTTCTTATTTGATGGAGTCACTGTTGCCTCAAAGCAAAAAGACCTTGTTTATCACTCCGTGCCTTCCTGTGTGTAGTTTGCATATTATCCATGTTCCTGAGTGCAGTTTCTTTCTGCAGTCCTGAGCCATGCAGGTTAGGTGAATAGGAAATACTTAATTGCCCATGGGTCTGTCTGTATGTGTTAGGCTTGTGATAGACCAGCAATCTCTCCACAATGTAACTTTCCTTTTGCCCACTGCAGGGTGGGAAAGGCTCCTAGCCTGTTGCATCCCTAATGGAAAAAGTGGTTCAGAAAATTGATGTGTTGTTATTTGACACCTTTATTTTTTTTTTCCCTACCCTTATTTTGTCTCACTGTCTTACTTTGCGTTTTGTTTTACCTCTAAAAGCTGTTTCATTTGATTTTAAAAGCTCCTCAAGTTCAGATTTTTTTTATAGAAATAGAAATAAAAGGCACTTTTTAAAATTTATTTCATTTTGTGTAGAATAAAGTGAGCGATCCTCACAAGCCCGAGTAATGTACTGTCACAAAAACAACAATAGAAAAGTCACTGTCATTATGCAAGCTGTGAATGAGGTGTTTGTTTGGGCATGGATGTCACTTTGTAAATAAAACACATGCTAATGAAATTCTTTACTTGAGTGTAGTTTTGGTAAAGAGTCAATTGCCATCTAACCGTTACAGTCATCTCAATTGATTCATTCAGCTTGTCAAAGTACTGCATTTGCATTTGGTGTGGAAAAGTCAAGTTGGTCTATGCAGTGTATTTTAGTTAAATGGATTTGTTGCTACCCTGGTAAAGGTGAAAGCTTTGTTTTGAGTTTTTAAATAACTAATGTTATTCCTCTGGTAGACTATATATGATTGATATTTTCTGCAGTGCAAGTTCATATTTCCCCCCAACATTTAATCAATTGCCATTACCCAGCCGTGAAGAGAGAGAAGGGGATTTTTAATGTGCACACAGCTATCCCCTTAGAGAACTGTCAATCACAAAACATTATTTGCATAACTAATGATGGGCCTCGTGTTGCCCTTGGAGTCATGGGGGGAAACATCCTGATTAATGGCAACACATTCACATGTGGACATGTGCAGGCCATCACTAACGAATAGCAATGATGGAAGATGAATGAAGGCTCAATTACAGGGAAAAGAGGATTTGAGTGATCAGGGGAGCTTTCTTCCTCTGGATATGTGCTTACCCTTTAACTTAGCATTAGTCACCTGACCTGCGGCCATCTTTATGACATTGTTTTGTACAGAGCTTGCTTAAAGGCTGTATGACTGTGACTCTGGAGCCCATGCTGACCTACACTTGTTTATATTCATCCAGACCCTGGCATTTGCTTGTAAGTTAGCAAATGCTGTTAGTCTAAAGGCTGTGGTTAATAATGAATGGCCAAATTACTCCTTGGCAATGATACACAAATGTATACTTTGAAGTTGTATAGGTAAATACAGAATAACACAGTATGCTGCATAATGATGAAGGCAGAAATGTAAAATATGATTCAAACTGTGAAATCAAATTAAGTTGAACCTAGCTTAATTACACTACAGATTTCACCAGGCTATTTGCTGGGGAATTGCACAGTTTAAGATGTTATGTCAAATAATTATTGATAAGAAGAAATACCCTGAAATGGTTCCACCACAACACCATTATGTCCAATTGTGCAGCTAACTGTGGTGACCCTGTTCTGCTTGCGTAGCAAAAAAGTGACAGCTGCAATGCTCAGTATTTTTTCAAGTTAGTGCCACTTCAGCTACATAACAAAACACTAAAAGCCTGGAGAAAGCTTCTTTTTGTTTTGTAGTTGCAGGTAATTTATGATTGAAGCAGTTCAGCTCTCAGCAAACAATCAGTGGATACAAAACTAGTGACTGCAAAAAGCTGACATTTTCTTCAAAACTCTGATATGAAAGCAACTGAATGTGAATCCCATCCACTGTCTGACTGGCCATTGTACCATCGGATCCTAAAGATGAAAGCAACGTCCTATGTATCAGCATCCTCTGGTGAACATGACAATTATAGTAGTTTGGCAGAAGGCAGCCAGGAGGGACCCATGCTGAGAAGAGAGTCTTTGTTTGACTCTGGCCTGTCATATGGTTTGTTTGTTTCCATCTAGGACTATTATCTGAACCTACCCCAGTGTAAACATAAGCTAGCTCCATGATAATTCATAATTCAGGAGACATCTTTGACAAACAAGTGGTAAATTATGGGTCTGTGATTATATTTGCTGAGAAACTCACTGTGTAATGTTGTTTATTGCACACAGAGAGATGTGGGTTTTTACCAAAAAAATTAAATATTTATTAGTTTTCATTATTTTTTAAAATTTTCAATACATTTGCAATTTAAGGTCGACATTGAATAAATTGTGGATATCAGGTGGGTGTGACCAGTCCATTCATCATGTGTTACCCTTGACCCTCTCCCTCTTAATTAGGCACAAGCATCATGTTATGACTAGTTTCCCTTTCCCTGAAAAGGAAACAAAATATCAAATGCAAAATCAAATATCTCAGGATATAAAATTGAACATATTATACACATTCACACACAAATCTGTAATGAAGATTGGCTCCCCGTGAGACAAAGCTGGCAACCAGCCAATTCCATGAAACAGTCATTTTGTTTAGTCTTAAATCACTCTTGCGGTTTGTGCCTTATTGCCTTACATTTGGCTGTGGAGAGGATAGGAAAAGAAAGTGTTAACACACAATTGTCCTCACTTTATAATCTCCAAAATCTGCTTTATATATCACTAAAATACAATAAAAGTATGTCAGTCTCAACCATTCAGAAAGAACTGGCAGCTCATTTCTTCTTCTGCTCTTTCACGCCATCTGTTCCTTTTTTTTTACTTTCTATGTGTCTGATTATTTTACAAAAGTGGTCATAGAAAATAAATACAAATATTTTCCAGAATGTAATTTTTATATGGCCCAGATGTCACCTCTGTGCCAGTACTGTGTATAGTCCTCTGCCACTGCAGTCTGTGTTTCCTTCTCCATTGTTGTCTCTCATTCCTTTAATAATGTCCTCCTCCCCTCACTTTTTTTTTTAGCATGTCAACAGGATTCATAGTTGCAGTTGCCATAGTGATCATGGTGTAAATAAATAAATAAATACAGTACATAAAAACAAATAAATACATAAATATTTCCATCTTAATAAATATGTTTGTCAGTTTGTCATGTCATGGTTTAATCCTACCCATGTAATGCTGAATACTCCGAAAACAGTCTCATAGTTTAAAATAAAGATTCTCGTTTGGGGGAGAAAAAAAGTCCCTTTACATATTTCTAGATGGTAATTTTGGTGACTGGATACATTTCTTTCTTTCCTGTTTTTCAAGCCGGAGTTTTCATCTTGAAATTTGAAAAATCATAAAAACTAAAGAGAAGAGTGTAAAAAACTTGAGTTCAAAGCCTGACACTGGGAATTTTGTTTCAAAAAGATAAAGAGGTGGTGCTCAGTCGGAGTACACAGGGCTGGCTCTGATGATCCCAGGAGTGTGCTGAGAAGCTGAGAAGAGGAGGCAGAGAAGAAGAAGAATGAAGAAGAGGGAGTGTCTCTCTGCAGAGAAGAAGCTGTGCTAGGACCCGTCCTCCTCAGGGTTTCCTGGAGCATAGTAGCCCGCCAGTTGCCTGAAACGTGGCCCCCAATCGCATAAATAGGAGAAATCCTGCTCCGAGGTGGTGGACAGTGTATGGATGGAGCTGAGTGAAAGTGCCGGCGAACTGGTGCCCTCAAAGGCATATGTCTGGAAGGAGTCATACGGCGGCACCGACAGGTCAGCATCAGCTTGCTCTACCTTCTTTTGGATGTAGCCTTTGAATAGGGAGAAGTCTGATGTTGCTGTCGCAGCACCCTCTGCACCCTCCGCACCCCCATCTACTCGGTTTGCCTGTATCCACTGTGGCAGTGAGCGGATGTCCGGGCCAGAGTCACAGCTCTTGGCCTCTGGGAAGTCATAGAGGTTTCTCAGGGCGCTCATGTCGTATGCCTGTGTGTCCTGCTCCCCTCCACCTTCATCATTGTACTTGATGACGTTATCCCTCATGTCCTCTTCATCCTCTGCCACCCTCTGGCCCTTCCTGTGGCGTTTCAGGGTCAGGATCAGCAAGACAAGGACTGATGGACAAGGACACAGAACACAAGGGTGAAAGAAACGCCAGGGTTGTAAATCCCACACTCGCATCAAATGCGTACAGTATAACCAGTTTACAAGGAAAATATTGTATCCCTCCTCATCTTGCTAAGAATAAAATAATGACATACCAAACCACATTCAGGGCATTTTGAAGAGAATAATTGTACTAAATGTGCACACATGATCTTGTACATCAAACCTGCACTGTGTGTTATGGATTTGCATGAACTTTCCATGAGAAAGTTTACAACTGCTCCCACTGTAACTTTTGATTTCACCTTTCAGAACAAGGCCACAACATGGGAAGATAATTTATTATCAAGTTTTACATTTCAAATGCATGAGCATTGATTTTTCACAATCCTGATTGTTTTGGCCAGAAATATGGTTCAAAAGGTCTAATAGAGACCAATATGTATATCAATAATCATCTAAGTTCAGTAAAACTAAAACTCTGATGTCCCATCATCACTTAAAAGCACAGGACACCACCTGCAAAAAGAAAAAGGTGTCTCAAAAAAATCATGGCTGGATTTTAAAAGGAACAACAACTGATAGGAATTGCATTACAGACTAATGGATAAATCAATGAGGCTTTAATTTTGGCTTAGTTATTTTAATTACTGCCTACATTTGAGGTTAGACATGTCTAATGTTGCTCAGACATTCACCCCTGAATCCGTCATCCCTCCACGGGGCTGCATGCTTGTCTCTGAAACCTACACCAGATTTATCTCAGACTTGCAGCAACATCAAATTCATTTTCAGTGGTGATAAATACAGTTTAAAGCCAGTTATGAATGAATTATGTACACTGAGGAGTAAATAGCAATCAAGCCTCCTTTTGATCAACTAATTAATATGCAAAGACAAATGTGGATATGCATTAATGTCTAGTATGTTGTAAACACAAACAAGTCACAAAATTAGAAAAAAAATGACAGATATTATTATGACATTTACAACAACACAACAGGATGGGTGGGTGTACATTTCTATTCCATAAATGACCCTGTGCTATTTCAAATTAAGAGCAGTAAGAGGTTCCTCACTCAATTTTCAGCCCTGTGTCCATCCCACTGGATGCAAGCATCCTTGCCCACTCATTTTGTTACACCATGATACTGTGGTTATTCCAAATACTGTATGTTCTTTTGTATTGTGAGAATTTACAGTAGCTAGTACTAGATTGGGAGCTTGTTCTACAAAAGTAAATTAACACAGATAACAAATACAGGCAGCACCCTGTTTCACAAATGATTGCCACTTGTTATCAGCAATCCTCATACATGGTGAAAAATACTTATACTGTAATTGGTTATAAATATAAGGCTTATTGTACTTTGAAATGGTAGTAGGTCTACTCATTTGAAGAGGTGAAAATATTAAGTTTTCACTGGCAGCACACTGAGTTTCCTGTGGCCAGTCAGCTATGGACTGTGTTACTGTGTAACCACAGTCAAAATCCCTTTTTCATCCTTTTAGCAGAGACAATGAGCAACTACTCCAAAGGGATGCCAGTGGAGGGACATTAAGATTGATCATTAACCAGCAGACACATGCATCTTCTGGAACAGAAAACTTGTTGCATAAAACAAATGCCTACAAGCCCAAAGAGATAAAAAGACTATCAATTATAATGGGGCCCATGCTGTCGGAGACAGCACAGATTGTGTGATGCTCTAAGCCCATTAACCCATCTATACATTGTGAAAATGAGATGTGCCCAAATAATTTCACAGTCAAACTAGATCGATGTCAGGACTTGGGTGTATAGGAAAGTTGTGTTAAAGCACATATGCAGGAAAATAGCCCATGGACAAATGTACACAATGAAAGTGACCTAGGTTTCAGTTCTGCTTTCATCTATTTCTCCTATTATTTTCTTTTTCCTAAGCAAAGTGCAAATAAACCACTGGTTTCAAGCATATAATCTGTACAAATGACTTGTTGGTGCTCCTGGTAATTGCCTTCATTTGGTGTAAATGGCCTAAAAAATAACTTGCAGAGTGAAAATACCCTGTGTGTTCCTCACCTAAATAGCTGTGCCAGCCTAAAGATCCTTGCTGATTTTAAAAGGGGATTGAATGCAGTATCTCTCACTGATAATTTATGGATTTTGACCTTGATGGCTATGACTTGGTATGCACAAACAGAAAGAATAAGATGGGAAGTGGTGTGGCCTTGTACACACAGTAGATAAAAACTTTTGTTATAAGAGAGTGGAGAAAATGTCAAGAGTTGTGGATAATTTGCTGGAGTGTGTGACTGTAGAAATACTCGTGGAAAAAAAAAAAGTTGTAATAAGCTGTATTTATAGAGCACCTGGAGCCAGCATAGAAACATTTAATGACTGGATGGAAGAAAATTACTTGACAATAAGTCATAAATTAATGTTCATATGTGGTGACTTCAATATAGATTTGTTAAATCCTAACAAGCACACAGGAACTGAGGAGTTTATTAACACAATATATAGATGTAGTTTATACCCAAAAATTACAAAACCAAGTAGAGTAACAACCCAGCATGCAACACTAATAGATAATATACTTACCAATGTTATTGACAGCAAAATGACAAGTGGATTACTTATAAATGATATTAGTGATCATCTACCAGTATTTGTGGTTTATGAGGGCCAGTATAGAAAAGAGAGGCCAAAAACAAATCTTTTCTATAGGAGGGTGACGAATGAACATGCTGTAAAGAGTTTTATGGGGCAAAACTGGGAATCAGTTTACAGAGAGGAAGACTTAGATAAAGCATAGGAGCAATTTTTAAATATATTCAAGAAAGTATATGACAGGAACTGTCCTCGTAAGCAGTATAAAAACAAAAGGAATTACAGTGGGAAACCGTGGATGAGTAAGGGATAACAGAATGCATGCAAAAAAGAAGAATGCGTTATATAAGGAATTCATAAAGGACAGATCAAAGAAGGCGGAAGAAAAATATAAGTCCTATAAGAACAAATTAATTGAGATTTTGAGGAGATGTAAGAAACTATATTACTCTAAAGTATTAGAGGATAATAAAAATAACATGAGAGGTACTTGGAATATATTAAATAAACTGATTAGAAACAGTACCAGCATGAGTAACTACCCTTAATATTTTATGGATAATGACACACCGGTCAATAGATT